GAGCGGGCAATTACCTTTTACTAATTGAGGTTTATGAAGGTTCTGTTTATGCCAGTCCAGATACTATAACTCTAATGAAGTGAGTTGAACACTTGGGACAACTGCTTATTACAGTTGAATTTGCATGTTCAGTGGGTACATAAGGACTGTGTAGTGTTTGTCTAGGCTAGGGTGAAACTTAAAAAAAACCAAGGTTACTCTAAATCTCTTAAAATTTGCAGATAACAGGTGAAAGTGATATAGTGGCAAAAAAATATGCTAACTTAAAGCAACTGCTAAAGCTCCCAAATTATTTGAATGAATTCTGGGAATAGTTAGCTGGTGATTAATTTATCAATTTTGCAACTACTAACACTATAATCAATCTAGTTTTGTTTTTTTGTTGATGAAGAATTATCTGAATTTGGACTGTTTCTGTTCTCTGCTCTTGTAAAGGTCCCTACAAATCAGAAAGTTTCATAGAAGTGTGTCATCCTGATTTTCTGAAACTCGGCATAAGTTGCTAGCTTTCAGATTCTCTAGATGTTCACGTATGTTCAGTCTGTTCACAGAAGCACAGAATTGCATAGATTAGAAAAGACCTTTATGATAGAGCTGAGTCATTAACCTCACACTGACAAGTCCTTGACTCATATGAAGGAAAAAAAAAATCTGAAAAAGGTGGTGATGGATTTTAGGATACAGTAGCAATTTTCTGAAAAAGACAAACCACAGGTTTTCATAGGACTTCTTAGTGTGTGCAACCAGTGTCCTCTTTCCAAAATGCTTCCCTTATTCTTTTACCATAGTAGGAATGTCTTTAATGCATTTAACCTTACAGTAACTCTCAGACAGGAAAATGCTTTTGTTTTCACTTTGTTCCTGGGATTTTGACATACAGATGTTCAAGTGTTTTTGCTGAAATTCACAAAAGGAAGCCTGTGGTGGAGAGGAGAGTGAAAGTCTCTGGAGACTGGTGATAGTTCCTTATTTCCGTGTGTCGTCCCCCCCGCTTTTTTTTTTTCCTCCTTCTTTCCCCCTCCAGCTTGTCTTTTCCTGCACCCAGCAGAATATTCAGTTAATACTTTAAATTACCAACATTTGATTTCCCAAATCAAAAGTGTTTTATTTCTTTAGAAGTCTAGTGAATATATGGGCACAAAGAAGCAGTATATTTAGTTTTGTTCAATAATGAGACTTCTTCATGTACGGTGTGCATATGAGATAGATTGGGTTTTTGCTGACTTGCATAAGCTGGGACGTATTGGGATCCCAGAGCTCTGGGGTATTTATCTGTGGGCTGTGGAAACTGTGCCATGAAGCAGTTCTCAGTCCTGTAGGTGCAGCATGGACATGTGGAAGACTACTTGATAAGCCTTCATGGAAATAGTAAATTCTATAGATTAAGCCCTCAGTACCTCAGCATAATTTACCAGGGTTTGTTTTTCTTTCTGGATTTACAGAGATATGAAAAATGCTGTAATTGGAAACAACAAACAAAAAGCCAACTTGATTGTTTTGGGAGCAGTTCCAAGGTATGTCCTTTGCTACTGTCCTTTTCACTGATTCACAACAGGTCTGGAATAATAATCCTTAGATCACAGGCACTTTTTTGTTTTAACTTTGATTGTAGTTGACTGCATACTTTCTTTAACCTAACTGAGAGAGACTTGAAATATCTGTTAAACTCGTGTATTACAGAACAAGCTGTTGGGTAATGCTTTTAATTTATTTCCTGGAATTTCCTAGAATTCTCTAAAGTAGTCTTGGTGATTTTTATTAAACTTTATCAGCTCAGGAATGAAATCTAATTTCTGACATTAATGTATTAATGATGGGTAAAAGAGGTTGTATCTTAATCCTGTTCATCAGCCAACTACCTGGTGAGTTCACAAGTGAAAGTGTGTAAGGTTATGTTAAAAATATAATTTAAAAATATTTTTAAAATCTGAGATAATTTGCTTGTCTTCACCTGCTTCAGAGGATTAAAAACCATTGATCATAATTTACTGCTGAATTACTGCTTCAGCTCATGTTAATATTTTCTGGATCCTGATTCCACTAGTACAAATTTAGCAGGTAACTTTAGCTACTGGATTGCTCACTACAGCTTTCACTTCACCCCTCTTCTCCTCCAGCTTTCTTTCAGCCACAGTTTGCAGCAATGGAAAAGGAAACCACTGAGCACTGCATTACTTGTGCTAGCAGTATGGGACCCACCTATGATCCTTTTGCTTAAATGGCAACATAGGTCCCAAACCCTCCTGCTTGAAAAAGCTGCTTCTAAAACATGCATTTTGTTTGCAGGGAATATCTTATTTACGAATGAGTTTGTGTCAAGGATGGTCCTTTATATTCTCTAGGGATTAGCTGTGGGGAAACTCCCTCTACAGAACCTGCTGAATTATCTTCTGTTTTGACCAAATATAAATGGGTAAAAAGAAGACTTCACATGAGACAAAAAGGTCAAAGTGAACGGTTGTTGAAGATTATGCAAAGTTTTAGGATTTTTTTTCAGCAACAGACCCTAAAGTATTCTTGCAACTACCGTTAATTCTTTTGGTTCCCATTTTAAAAGTGACAGAAAATCTCCAGCTTCCAAATCTAGAATCTGCCTGTGCTTAAATTTTGTAGGGCTTCACGTTCCTTCAGTTATCCTGCTTTCTGCTGTTACTTGTTCTGTGCCCAGTAGTGAAAATCCTGAAGGATTTTCATCTGTTATTATAGCCTTCTGGCTGTCCAAGTAAATTATATTGTTAACCTATAACTGCACATAAATGACTGTTTGGAAAATCTTAAAAGGTAAATTATCACATTTGTCCTCACTTCAGTTCAAGTTCTCCTCAAATGACAGGAAATGTAATGCTAAGGCTTTTCAGACTAGAGATATAGATGAAGGTAAATTGACTGGGTTATTGTAAGAAAATATGATTCTCACTGGCTAAAATTTAAGTGGCATCACCTACCCCCAAGTGCCTTTCTGAAGGCTGTAGAATCTCCTCCAAGTGTTGCAGACAGACTTAAATAGATTATAGACCATTTGGGTTAGAGAACTTCTGCTGTTGCTCTCTCTAACAAGGTGGTGAGAATTCACTGACTTTTTTTGACATGCTTTCTAATTTGTGAAATGGCCGCTGAAGACATTAAAGTACAGGAACCTTTCGAATTCCAATCTGCAAAGTCAAACCTTTCCCTCAGTAAGAAGAGGAGTAAGCAAGCTAACATTCTTTGTTTTAAATCTCCTCCAAAAAGTTACCGAGGAGAACAGTTTTCTTTTCACAGAAACTGCAGTCTCCCAAGGGAATTTGATTCTTTCCTGTAGTGGCATGGGGATTGTTAGAATTCTGCTACAGCTGCTTTGTCCTGTGGTTCAACTTCTTGTTTACTCGTTTCTTGCTTCTCTCTTCTTCCCCAAGTATTTCACCAGCAAGCTTTTAGAACAAGACTCTTTAGACCCAAAGAACTCCTTCAGGTTTCTGTCATTTAGTGGAAAACAGTATGTTCACCTATTAGAACAGACTCATAAGAGGTTTGGAAACAAGTCTAGGAAGTATCTTTTGTTTGAAATTGAACCAAATCTTACCGGTTGGTACAAAGTATCTTTGTTATTTTAAAATACAAGACTGCTGATGGTTGGAAAGAAATGTTAAGTACTTTGAAGATCTCCATATAGGAAGAAAATGTTGGGGAAGAATGCCTGAATCACTGTCATTTCTAGGCCAGTGGCCTCCTGAGCTCATGAACTGACTGCTTACTTGTGTCATCTTTAGAAAGGGAGATATATCTATACCTTTGGAAAAAAAAGAAAAAGCAATTATTTTTTTTGTTTCTTTGAAATTCAGTCTGACCTATGGTCACTCCTTGACCACTTGTTCTAAAGAGGGTGCTAAGAAAAACAAAGTTGACTGAAGAAAGCTTGCAGAATTGTCATGTCTGGACTTAAGAAGTAAGAAGTGTTAAGAACTGTACAAATGTGTACGCAAACATGGTCCTAGATGTTAAGAATTTAAATGTAGCCAGCCTGTATGTGGATTTTCTTTCTTAAGGAACAATTTTCTGTGTCTCTTCCTCTCTGCAGAATGAGCGTTACTCCTTTACATTCTCATGAAATGCTGGCCTCAGGCACCTCTGTCAGGACTGCAAAAATTTTACTTTTTGAAACTGTTACTTTTTAGTTGCAATCCCAGAAAATAAAATTTCTAAAGCTCAGGGTGAAAAAGAGTATTTTAATGCCATCATATCAAGTTCTTTCAGTAGCAGGCAGACTTAAAACAAAAAGCCAGCCTTGCCTAAAAATAGTTTGCTACTTGTACTGCCCTTCACTTTTCTAGTTGTTTTGGTTTTGTTTTTTCTTTATTTTTTTTTCCCTTCTACCCCACATAAGTGCTAGCAGAGAATGGGGAAGCTGACAGTTTTATAAGAACGAATGCTACAGCTTTTGTTCCTGTCACCATGTCAGACACCTCTTCAGAGTCCAAGTTCAGTATTTAAAGCTTTTTGTCAGTTGCTCTTCCCTCCTATGTCTCAGGAAAATTATTGAGTTCTCAGTTAAAATGTAAAATGTTCTTTTTTTAAGTCATCTTGATAGGACTTCTGGCTTAACGAAACAAGTTTCATGTAGCAGCAGTTAGTCTGTAGTGCTGCTGGCTTCTAATCCTCTGAGCTGTAATTGGAGCCCTTTTCTGGTGGAGTTTATCACGGAGACTAGAAAAACACTTGCTTACTGTGGCGTCCAGGCTGACAGTCATATTGTGGTCATAGTCATTGCTACTTGATAACACCTAAGGCGTAGGGGAGCTAAAGACTCTCACTTTAAGTGGTTACCAGGACCACCTGGATATCTTGCCATTCTTTGATGTAACTTTAGAAGCTAAGTAGTCTTTCCCTCCCTGCTCTGCTGTACCTTGTGACCTCCTTTACACACTTTCCCACAAACTGTGCATCAGCCACATTTCAAAGCCGCTGAATTAGTGAGTAGGTTAGTAGGTTCTGTTATAGGTAAAAGTTACGCTCTTAAGCTCTTTCTGAATTCTGTGGTAAACAATCTAAAGCCTCTAGTTTAGAGAGATGGAATTGGGAAAGAAAAACATTCAGTGAAATGAACATGTGAGCAAGTCCTTTAACTGTTTTGCAAGTCTGTAAACCACTTTCTGGTACCCTGAAAGGTAAGGCATTCAGTGGTTTGTAATCCAGTCGACAAATAGGGCCTTATTTCCTCTCTTCTTCCTTCATCTGGCAGATGGCAGAGTGCAGAGAAGGCAGTGTTAAATTCCAGTCATCAGAGCATAGCTTTGTCTTCCAGTATGTTGTGGTTACCTGTTGAAGCACTGACCTGTGCTATTTTGTCAAAAATATTAGCTGAATCAAGTTATTGCTTCTCTAATCATTACTGAGAGTTTAATATGTAAAGTCTAATCCACTTCAGAGCTAGTTTTGGATTAAGAGCTTGAGTTATTCCTTTGCTCCAAAATGAATAGAGAGGTTTTTTACCTAACCATTCAAGACCTTTAAAACAAAACAATTAAATCATTCTTGTCACTCACCAGAAAATGATTTTCTGACTTCCAGCTGATTGTTCTCCAGACTCTTAAGGCATAAATCAGTTGTTTGGAGCTATAACGTGGTAATGCACTTCTTCCCAAAGTTAAAGGCCTGTCTCTAGGTAGGTACTCAAAAACTTCATATAGTTAATTTTTACCTTTCCCTAAGAAATTTATTAGGGATTCTGTTTAATTGTTGGAGTTTTTTATTTTTAAATTTATTTGGCACACATTTTAAATGACATGTAGAACAGCTGATGAACTTTTATCCATTCCATCATTTGAATTTTGAGTTCTGCAAAGGATAGTTAGGCTGTCTGTAGAAGACAAAACTAGTAAGAATTTGTTAACCTATTTGTTAACTTGTTTCTAGGGCTGTGAACGCACCAATACGGACACCATGAAATGTTGTTTCAGTTTATTGTTAAACATGATCAAATTCCTTCAGGCAGTGTTTTTTTAGAGTTTACCAAAAAAATAAGATTTCTTCTTTGATAAACCTACTATTAAGATGGGAAGGTATCTCTATTAACTGGAAGATTCTGTTACATCTCCAAGTCTGTCGTCTAAGGAAAAGGATTTTATATAGGTTAATGTCTACATTAAACACAACAAAAGTATCCGTAAAGAAGATTTTTGCATGCAGTATTGGCTGGCAAATACTGGAAAATTAAAACTGATGTACTGATAAGTAAGTAGAGGAATTCACATATCTGTGATAGTGTTTGAAATGTTTGAGTATGTGTTCCTTGTGAGATTTAAAAAGAAAACTTAGGCAGGATGGTTTTGCATAGCTCAGAAGTATCCTGATCAATTCTTTGTTTAAATGCGTGGTATTACAAATTTATGGATGACCCGTGATGTTGATCCTGCATGGAGATTAGCAGAAGAGCACCTTTACGCATTGAATACTGGGATGCTGACTGTTGTGAGAGCAGTTGCAGGACTGCAGGGTGGAAAAAAAACACCCTGTTGCTTTCAGCTTTTCTTGGAGT